TTATAAGAGTAATGGAAAATCATTTAAACAGGAGAAAGCAATGAAAGATGAACAATATAGATACTATGCCTGACGACCATTCTTAATTAGCTGCAACAATTTGACTTTGATAATATTTTATTTATTAATCTAATAAAAATCATTTTATTCAAAAAAATCAATGTCTCAAAATGAATTTTCAAAGTAAGAATTTTTTATTATATTACCATCAATATTCTCATTAATATTAATTAATATTAATAGTCAAACTATTGCAACTAAATACTCCGTAGTATGGAAAAAATATAAACGTAGTATATAGAAACCTTACAAACCTTACTGCCCCTATAAAGTGCAAGGGAAATTTGGTTATATTTCAAGGTTGAATGATCACTCTAAAGGTATGTAAAGGGAGGGTGTGTACGTGTCTATGTTATAAAAAACAGATCAGTATTTCTAATGAGGTGGTGTCTATGTTAAGGCATCCCACGTCCAATGACAGATTTTTGAGAAAGTATCAAGGTATATATAATATATGTGCGTGAAAATACATACACAAATATGTATGTATATGAAGCAGTAACTCTTTTGACATGCAGTAACAGTAACAAATCAAGCAAGAGTGGCACTGAAGATGTTGAGAGAAAACAAAGACAAATTTGACCTGGTTATCAGCGATGTCCATATGCCTGATATGGATGGTTTTAAACTGCTAGAGCTTATTGGTCTTGAGATGGATCTTCCTGTCATTAGTAAGAACCACAACTCCTCAATCTTATCATATATACCGGGTCATGAAATATGGACCTTTATTATTATAGAATGGCTAAAGGGTCAAATAGATACATGAACTAACTTAAAGTGTTCAATTAGCCCTTATATAGGAGGTTCTGCCCGGCCGTCGCCAATTGGGGCGGTTCCCGGTGGAATTTTTTTGATGAAATTTTTTGAGCATCTTCTTCATTAAGTCTAGTTTACCCATATCAAATTTCAGCTAAAAATGAAATCGGGAAGACAGTCAAATGATTTTCCGAAATGTACTGCGCTGTTTAACTGCGCAGTTATCTTCAAAAAATCATTTGACTGCCTTCCCGGATGAATTTTTAGCTGAAATTCGGTATGGGTAAACTAGACTTAATGAAGAAGATGCTCAAAAAAATTCATCAAAAAATTCCACCGGGAACCGCCCCAATTGGCGACGGCCGGGCAGAACCTCCTATATAAGAGGCTAATTGAACACTTTAAGTTAGTTCATGTACCTATTTGACCCTTAAGCCTTATAGAATATACAACAAATGTTTTTTAATGAGATTCATGAAGATTATTAATTCAATAATCCGGCTGGGCACTAGTGTTGTCAGCAAATGGTGACACCAGACAAGTGATGAAGGGAGTTAGTCACGGGGCTTGTGACTACTTGGTGAAGCCAGTGCGGATTGAGGAGCTAAGGAATATTTGGCAACATGTAATCAGAAGAAAGAAGTTTGATTCCTCCAAAACCCATAATTGCAAGTCTGGTGGTGATCCTCATTGTGGAAGTGATCAGGAAAGTGGACTTGGGGACGACCAATTATCCGCTTGTGCTGCTGCTGCTGACCACAATGAAAGAATTGATAATCATAATCATAATAATAATAAGAGAAGAAGGGAAGACCAAGAAGAGGATGAGAGTGATGATAATGGAGATGAGGACTCAAAGCAGAAGAAGGCTAGGGTTGTTTGGTGTATTGAACTTCACAGGAAGTTTGTTGCAGCCGTGAACCAGTTAGGCATTGAAAGTGAGTTACGGTTGATCTTCATAAATAATCATGCTTATTACTATGAGGGAAATTTGTTGATATAGTCCTCTAATTTGTGCATGTATTCATCAGTAGTCCTATAACTTCACTACTTGCACATAAGGCTGTGCCTACATTAAAGACACCCACCTGAGTGCACCAAACATTAAAGACATTTACTTCCCACCGGAAATAGTACATTCTGGAGGAAACATTCTTAATGTGGCACAAACATAAGTTACAAGACTATATCAACAATTTTCTCTTATTACGGAGTATTAGTGTTTTTGTTGTTGTTATTGTCCTATACTCTCTCCCAGTAGTACTAACTCATTTCAACTATTATCCTCCTTATCTGTTTTTTCTTAATGTAGAAGCTGTACCAAAAAGAATTCTTGAACTGATGAATGTTGAAGGGCTTACCCGTGAAAACGTGGCAAGCCATCTCCAGGTACCAATTTCACTTGCTTATTTTCAGTATCTTTTTTTGTTACTATATTTGCTACATATAAAATTTGTTTCTTGGCATTAATGGACCACGGCCTATCATTTAAAGGTAAGCACAGAAGAAATTATATGGACTAACCAATAAGGCAGTATAGTTTGAACATATATGTGTGTATTTACAGAAATACAGGATATACTTGAAAAGAATCAGTCTGGTTCCGAGTCCGTATGCCAACATGGCAGCTTCTTTTGGAGGAAAGGATTCTTCTTATAATACGCGTATGAGTTCATTGGATGGGTTTGGAGATTTTGGAGCGCTGACTGGACCTGGAAGATATAATCATGCTGCTGCTATATCATCATCGTCTTCATACACACCAAGCAGCCTGCTTGGCAGGCTAAATACTTCAGCTGGTGTGAGACTTCAAAACCTTAACTCACTCAGTTTGCTCCAACCGAACCACCCCCAACCTTTGGGCAACTCCACCCTTGGTCCCCTAGGAAAGTTCAACTCAAATCCCCAAAACTCAATTGGTTCATTTCTAGGAATTCCATCACTAGAGCTTAACCAATTGCAACACAGTAAGTTCAGCACAAGTGTACAGGACCTGAATCCTTTCGGCAGCTCAAGGCTTGTTACATCTGCTGTTAGTAGCAGCACATGCACCGGTTCTGGATCAATGAATGCTTCGATCCTTCAAGGGAACTCCCATCAAGAAAAGAATAAGGGAGGGTTAGGAAACTCACATTCTTTGAGGTCTGACCTTTTATGCACAGGCGCTTCTAAGCAGCTCGATGGAAATCAATTGAGATGGAATTACTCTTCAGCAGGCCCTCGTTTACAGGGTAGCCCTCTTCTCAGTTATTCTTCCACTGCCTCAGCTTCTATGCCTTTTGAAGAAGACTCAAGGGGACAGAGACCATATCATGAAGGAGGTTTCACTGGTAATCAGGTACCTAGCCTGCTGTGGGGAGAGCGTGCAAATAATCACAACTCCATTGATGCTCTTAGCAACTCAGTCCCTGCTAATGACGACTTTATGCCATTTATTATAAACCAGGGCGTTGACCAGAATAATGATGTCTTTGTCAGAAAGATGGACACCTCTGTATTTGGTCAATCAACAAATGGAGGCTCTTCAGTTCTCTTTCAAGACTCAAAGTTGAGATCAAATGAGGACAGCCTTTTGAACTCGTCAAAGGAACATGTTTCTTATCCTTCTCAAAGTTATGAATCTTGGGATGATTTAGTGGATGCAATAATCAAGCAGGTATTTCTTCCTCCCAGCCATGTCTCTTGCGTGTGCTCTTTATATATCTGAAACAGCATGGTTTGTACAGCTCATTTAAATGGATATGTCATATAACGTGTAAACAGTTACAAGTCAATTGCTGTTAAACTATCGTATGAGCTTAATAATGTACTACTGGGGCGGGGGTACATCAACTATAGATGCTCTGGAAATATCATTCTTAAATGAGCATTGAGCTATATATAAAAGGGAAAGTATAGGGGATAGTGTAAAAATAATACAAACTAATACATAAGTTAAAATCGAGGGGCTCCCCCCCCCCCCCCCGCGCATATCTGCTGATGTGTCTGTGTGTTATGAAAAAAATGAATTAGTAGTAGCAGAAGTTAGTAATATCATTGTTAAATGAGCATCGAGTCTATATACACGGGAAAGTAAAATCCTTGTTTGCTTCTGTAGTAGTGGACACAGTGTATTTCGTTTGGGTGGGCAGGCGAGCCGGCGGTGGTAGTGTATAAAATAATACATGCCCTTTTTCCTTGTCACTATTTATACCACAATGTTCTTATCACAGTTCTTTATGGTAACATTTTAATAAGGTACTTTAAAAGAAAAACACGATTAAATATTACTAATTAAATCATTTGGACAAAATAATTAGATTTTAGTTTGAGGGCAAAAAATTCAGTAATGCAGTTATCAACAACCAATTGGCCATAAACATTTACCAGCACAGTTACCAAGAGGCAACATGCCAGTTGACTATTGGTAATTGCATTCTGACACTTAATGTCTTAAATTATAAAAGTGGCTTTTTATTTAATGAGTATTTAATAGCAGCGTTAAAGAAAAAGTCTCATTTGAAAGCAGTAGTTAAGTAATACGTAGTAATATGCAATAATAATGACATTCCAAGAGTTGCATTCTGATATACCCTCCCATAGTGCAGGAACAAAATGGAGACATATTTGATGGAGAGTTTGGATTCGGATTTGATGCACACTCATTTGGGTCTTGAGAAAGACAATGGTTTGTGTGGGAAGCAGAGAATCAAGGGAAGGAGGATGCCAGGATCAGCTTTCATCTTTCATCTAGCAGACTGAGAGTGATAAAAAAGCTCTACTTTCTTAGATTTATGAGTAATTTTTTCAGCAGCTGTACAAATATCTTACAAACTTTTAAAGTACAAGTTACCTGTTTCTTCTCATTTCGTTTAACACCTCAACAATTTTGGAACATGAAGCCAGCAAAAATGTCATGCTTGCCATATGTGTATATTCATTTTAGAGTTCTTCCAAGTGCATTATGTTTTTAGTAGATTAGTAAATATTGGATGAATGGACTTTTCCTCACTGCTGACCCACTGAAAATCATAAAATGAAGATAATGAGAGCTTGTTGATCTGGTCAAATATGTTGGAATATAATTTTCTTTGATAATTGTTGGATGTTTATTATAAAAAATGTGATATTCGAGAAAACAAACTGTGATTAATCGAATATAAATATTGACAATCTTTTGCATTTAAGATAATAAACTACTAGTGGACCACCTCTACGTTGATCTCCAAGTCTTTTACCGAACTTGTTGATACTATTACATCACTAAAGATAGGGTCTTGAACTCTTGAAAGTAAAAATGTTTCCTGCATCAAAGGCTGAAGCTTCTCTTGCAGCACTTTATAAATCTCACTCATTTCAGGATGTGACCTATCTCCCACACAAAACACATGACACTTACCGTTAACTTCAATTTGACTGAACCCAGGCACTTTTTTTACTTCCCTCTGTTTCATCTTCTTACGCACCTGTGCAAAACTGTCCCAGTTCCCAGAAGCAGCGTATGCATTTGCCAAAAGTACATAGCCACCCGAACTACCTGGCTCGAGCTCGATTAGTTTGTCCCCAATCTGTCTTGCCAGTGCAGCATCTCCATACAACTTGCACGCACCAAGTAAAGCTCCTAGGACAGCTCCATCAAGCTCTTCTGGTGGGATATGTGCCACCACCAATACAGCCTTGTCAAGGAGCTGAGCTCTCCCCAAAATGTCAACAAGGCAACAATAGTGCTCGGCTCTTGGTTTTAGTCCGTAGGCATGTACCATGGCATCAAAAATCTTCTGACCCTTCGTCACCAAACCTGCATGGCTGCATGCTGACAAGACGCCAACAAATGTGATGTCATCAGGCTTCTTTCCTGATTTCAGCATTCGTGCAAAGGTTTGAAATGCTTGATTAGCAAGACCATGATAAGCATATGCGAGTATCATTGCAGTCCATGAGACAATGTCCTTCATTTTGAGGTTTTCAAAAGCAATCATTGAAGAGGTAAGATCTCCATTCCTAGAATACATGGTGATCAGGGCATTAGTGAGGGATGTCTCATGCTCTAAGCCTAGCAGCAAAGACAGTGGGTGAACCTGTAATAACTCAAGACAACTTCTGCAAGATGTCAATACACTGGTAATGGTAGTTTGGTCTGGCCTTAGTCCATATCGAAGCATAGATTGAAAAAGCTTCAAGGCTTCACCCTCAGGTCCACTTTTGGCATACCCATCAATCATCATATTCCAACTAATAAGATTCTTATTTGGCATAAATTCAAAAAGCTCAGAAGCTTTGTCCATCAGGCCTTCTGCACAATAAACAGTGATCATAGCATTCCAGGCAGCCACATCTTTATACGGCATCTGTTCAAAATACATCCTTGCCAAATCAGTCAGCCTATTGTGTGCTAGACCAGTTACCATTGTGGTCCAAGAGACCTCATTTCTTCTTGGCATTCTATTAAATAGTTCCACAGCCACATCAACCATATTATAATCCAAACAGCCTTGAATCATAATGTTCCATGAATGTAAATTACGTGCTGGCATTATATTAAAGAGTTCAAGCGCTCTATCAACTTGGCAGTTCTCAATATAAGCCCTGATCATGGCAGTCCAAGCAATGACATTTTTACAGGGCATTTCATCAAAATTATTACGTGCTTCATCAATTTGTCCATTCCTTGCAAAGCCTGTCAATGCTACAGTCCACGAAACTGCACTTTTCTCTGGCATCTGCTCAAATAACCTACGAGCTTCATCTACATTTCCAATTTGAAAATAACCGGAGACCAAACTTGTCCAAGAGTACACATTCCTATTAGGCATTCCATCAAAGATTTTCCGAGCCTCCTCCATTCTCCCGGCCTTGGCATAACCATCAAGCATTGCAGACTCAGACACAACATTCCTTTCCGGAATGGAAAAGTAAAGATTCTCAGCCTTCACAAGCTCCTTATTCTTCACATAAATACTAATCATTGAGGCATACGAGACAACATCCCTATGAGGCATTTCATCAAACACTTTCCGGGCTTCATCCACTTTCCCTCGACGGCCAAGGCTACTGATTTCTTGGTTATGGTCATAAAGAGTTAATCTAGGATCAGACTGTAAGTGGGTCAGTACATTTTTCTGAGACTGAATTTGGGGGAGGGGTTTTGATTTGAAGTATGATCTGAAAATGGAGGGAAGCCAACAAGGGCCACTAATGTAAATATGATGATCTTTTGAGCCCCAAAATAAAATGGTGCCGGTTATTTGGTTTATTATTCTCCTTGTTACTACTATACGCATTGGAAGATAGAAAAGTTTGGGTACTCGATCAGCGTATTTTGTGGTTGCATTACTTGTGAGTATATAGAATGGATTCACGCCTTCGCGGGAATATGAATAATAGTTATCGTATGTGTATAAGAGAGGTTTGTGATATGGGTTAAAATATGATAAAGTTCCTTCAAAAACTTCTCAATATTCTTGTCAAATTAATATTTTTTAAATTATTTCCATATCCTGAGATATAAAATGATGAAGGAAGCTTCTATGTTTGGGTTGTTGTTTTGTTTTGGTCGTGGATTACTCAAGTACTCCCTCCGTCCCGTAAGAACTTCCTACTTTCCTTTTTTAGCCGTCCCAAAATTATCTTCTCATTTTCCTAAATGGAAAGTTATCTTACGTCAAAACAGTGTCAAACAGTGCAAAACAGTGTCAAACAGTGCCAAACAGTGTCGAAACAATGTATTCTACAGTAAAGTCGAATTTATTTTCTAAATATGTGTGTAGGTCAAAGTAAGAAGTTCTTAGCGGGACGGAGGGAGTATTATTTTATCATAACAAATGGAGTGCGATCCATACCTCCTTGAGTGAGATGAGTAGGTTGGACGGATAAAATTGAAGGGGACTGCACAAGACACAGATGACATCCAAAGGGGGCTACCATACCATGTCAATTTTCGCACAAATTGGGTGAGGAGATTGTCTCTCCCATAATGGAGCTACACTCATCCAATTGGAGTGGTTGAGACATCCTTGGATAGCCCTTGAAGTGTAGTTTCATCCTAGTTTCATTTCTTAAGAAGGTGTTGGAAAATGTGTTAAAAATTACATTAAATGGTCAATTTTGGGCATTAGTTTTAGATTCTCCTTGGATCAAGGGCTTTAATTCGATATGTGGTACACTCAAAATGGATAACAGGTGAATGAGGAATTGATTTTCAAAGTTCACTCGTTAGAATGAAGAAAAATAGAGAAATGATGAGTTTATAGTGTCATATTTCCACACCGGAAAACCCAAGACATTTTCACCCCTATGTGGTGTTTCAGATACATAGGACTGTCGATAATTTTTTCCATGTCCTAAACTAATTTAGTGTGCGACTTGATATTTGTATCTCAACTGATGGTTGAGTCAAATTTTTATGTTCACCTTACAGATGCATAAAGTAGATTTTCTAGTTGTGCTTGATAAAAGCGTGATAATTACAAAAAAAACTTATAATCATACAGTTGAAGTATCATACAACTAAAAATAAACACCATCATGTTATAACAAGAATAATCATTATCACCATCATGATAGTCCAAATTTGAGCGGGATTCCTAGAAAAATGAACATTATCAAGTGAAAAATAAACTAAAGAGTTTTTGTATAGATGAAACAAGGAAAGTAACACATTGGTTGCATACTTGCATGCTATGGAAAGTCAGTATTTCAGAACGTAGAAAGCCGAATACACATTTTCAGGTGTAGGCTATTTATCTATTAATATTACACTCTTTAATACACCATCAAAGGAGCTCAGTAAGTCTAATGTTACAGAATATTCATTAATTAAGGATACAGACGAAAAACATTTCACAACAACTGGACGAACTGCAAATTGTGGTCTTCCAGTTCTCCATCTGCTTGGGCTTCAGTGCTGTAGCCGTTTCCTTGAGCAGACTAACTTTTGAGATGATTATACCCATCAACAATGGTAATAGCTTTTAAGATAATTATACCCATGAACAATAATAACAATATCAATAATAAGAAAAATAAAACAAGGACCAGCACTCTATAGACTGAATACAGCTATTTAATTCCCGGACCAACCCAAGTGGCGTGCTCTTTTCTCCCACATAGCTGCCAGCTTCTTCTCCTTGGCGAGCAAAACTTCAGCACCCTCTCTTCTCACCTCGCATGTTTCAGTGGCAATATTACACTTCTCGCCCTCCTTTTGGTATTCGGAAGCTAACCTTCTGGCCTCTGTCACTGTAATGTTCATGCGATGCATGCGTTCTCGGTCTACAGCTTCCTGAAGCCTTAGCTCTTCTGATAGTAAATCCACATACTGCTTCTCCATCTCATCCTTGAGATCCGGGTCGTCTTTTCCACAGTCTGTTATGGAGTGTATTAAAAAGATCAGAGAAGAAATAAGCAAGTAAATACAGCAATAATGCTGATTCCAGAAGAAAAAATCTTCCCCCTTTTTGCCGCTTAGTGATGAGATTGACTAATTGAAATCTTCATTCAGATAAAAGGGTGTGGAAGCATTTGTTTACCTTTAACTGTAAGATTTGCCAGACCTGCATAACAAGCACCAGACATGAGAATGCAGATTGTGCTCTTAATTATCATTGTAAGAAACAATGCATACATATGTACGGTACAGTTTAAATGATGCATTTATGCCATACACAAAGGTTTTAAAAGGCTAAATAAAATGGGTTTAAGGCATTTTTCTTTAGCAGTTTAGCCTTACAAGGCGTAAGCATCATTGGTAATATGTATAACTTTAAAAAGATACTATAATAGCAAAATCAATACTTAATATGCTAAAAAAATGATACTCAAAATTAGCAAATAAAATGGGACTGTGCTGTTAAAGAAGATAAAAACTGCAAACCATTTTGGGACATAGGGGGTATGATTTAGTAACTCAAAATAACATTTGCAATTGCGAGGCAAAATTCAAAAAGTCATAAGAGTATTCAAACATTTAAGTAAACTCTGCAGCACATAAGCAATGATGTGCAGCAATAAGTCATGTAAACTCTGCAGCACCTAATTACTGCTGAAATTATTCTAAATCATCACAATTCTTTTAAGCCTTATTTGCTTTGAGGCTTTTTTCATGTTGGTGTGGTAATGTGGGTGTCAATTTGGTGTTACGAATTTATTGATATTCATCTGTGTTATATGAGAAAATAACTATCTCAAGAAGAACATCATGGTGAGTTATCGTCTTCATTGATAATAAGCCATTGAATCAATCAGATAAAAGAATAAATACTACCTCTGTTGTCTGTATTGGAACCAGACTTAAACGATAGACCACTTCTTCATTTTTTGGCAAGTTATGGCTCTCATTAATCTCACCAATGGCACATAATTTTCAGTGTACGTGTTGGTTTAACTAAAATTATCATATTTGATTTGTTGACAACTTCTTACCTTTTTAAAACATGTCTATGTTTTAGGATGGATGGATAATAATATACTTTACCCCTTATTTATTATAAAATGGGACAATTTTCAATAAATAAAGGGAGTTCATCAATTACAAATTTCAGAGCTGTGGTCGATTTTGGAATCAGAGACTTAAATGTCACTGTTAGAATTTTTCAATCGATTTATTAACTATCAATAAGGACTTTTTTGTTTAAGATGTATTGAGAGATCAATAGAATTTTGGACTCCTTAAAGTTAGACAAACCTAGGCGGCTATACTATTGGACAAGTTATTTTTGGATCTTTCATATAATTTTATATTTTGTTCTAAAAGTTTATTTCATAGTTAAGAAGCAAGTACCATGAAGTCAAAATGTGGCAAGTTCAGAAGCAGAATTGAACACCAAATCAAAATAAAATGTTAAAATTATTATATACCTAGTATGTGACTATAACATATCAAGTTCCCCTACATGTGATCGCTTTGTTTCTAGTCCCGAAGTAATACGCATTCGGTATTATTTAAAGAAGGCTTTTAAGTAAATATAATTAATTATTTTTAATGGACTAAAATGCCCTTATAACCTGATAACTCATGTGCTCAAGGGAGGTTTTCTCCCACCAGCTTGTGATGTCACACGCCCCTCTCATTCCCAATGGCGACATTCTTTTAAATATGTCTGCTTCTTCATGGATGTCATTCTTTTTCTTCTTCTTCGTCAACTATCTCTTTTATCACCGCCCATGACTACCAAGTACCAACATTTTCACATTAATGAAAATGATGGATGACAGTGTATAATGTGCAGTGAAGATGATGATTGTGGAAAGTGTTTATGGTCAATGAAGACGATAACTCACCATGATGTTCTTCTTGAATTTCTTCTGCTCTATACTTCTTAAGGGAGAATGAATGGCAGCAGATGATTGGCAATGCATTTATGTACAGTGAAGGTGATAAGAGGAAATGTGTCTATGATAAGTAAGATTAGCAGTTATGATGATGATGATGATTGCCGCATAGAACTGCGGCAAAAGAAATTAGTTTGCAGAGGTGGGCAGTGATGTAATAATGGAGGAGAGAGATAGTCTTGTATAGTAGGCAGTGACAACAATGGCAAAATGCAGGGAGCGTCCAATAGTGGACTATGATGCTAATGGAAGAAGATAGTGTATTTGGATGTCGATGTGGGTGAATCGGGCAGAAGGCATTAAGTGTTTTTAGTTATGTCATTTGGGGTAGTGAGGTGTATTTTGGTATCAATATACACATGCTTAGTCATATGAGTCTAAGTAGTCGAATGTAGGGGAATGTACTACATTATAGTTTCTGGTAAATTTCGGATTAAAAAACTTCTCGAAACTAGTTCACCCAATAACACACATGATTACTGATTAGCAGAAATAGGAGTTATCAAAAAAACACTAATCCGCTTTACATTTGATGCAAGCTAGGGAACTTAGCTAAACATCATATTTGCAAATCTTTTGATTAAAGTCAACTTATAGTTATTTTTAGTAATTTGGCTTTATTGAAAGATATCATATCATACCAAAACAGTTGATATTCATAAAACAATAATACATCCTGTCATATTTGGAAAGAAAATAAATCTTGATCTCTTGGAGCAACACAGAGACCTAAAGAATCAATCTTTAGATCATAAATATCTAAATTCTAGTAATACGCAGTAAAGAACAACTAGCAAACCAAGTACCTCGAACCCAGAGAAGCAAAATCTAATAACAAATGTATAAAAGATTAAATTTTGGAAACTACCCAGAAACTAAAAGTGATACAGTACAAATAAAAACTGGATCTTCAGTTACGCGAGAGGGGGGGGGGGGGGGGGGGGGAAGAAGAGCTATACCAGGAGCAACATCTAGAATGGAAAGTGGTGGAGAGCAGTCACATTTGCAAGGAGTACAATAAGCTTTGAGCTTTAGAGCTTTCTTGAATTTCCAGTAAAGAGCAGGCCCAGATACACATAGAGCTGAGACCACAGCAAAGATCACCAAGCAGCACCTTAAGCAATTCCCAGATCTCCTTGACATCTCTC